CTCAGAGATAAGCATTTCTACAACTTATTTGCAATAAATACAAATTGCCATTTGTACTTACATGTCTAAGCATGTGCGTGCAAGCATAGAAGCGTTCAATATATTTTGGAATACCTGCAAATCACACGCTGTCTGTGATATTCGATATGCGCCCACTTCCCGAGGAAAACACGAGAACGAAGTTAATGTGCATTTGTGACCGGAGCAATTAAAGGTTAACTGTGAGAAGACATTTTTAGTTGATTTCGTCTGTCAATTCGTCTATTACACCGCTACTGTGTACAATAGTTGTTAAATTGGACGAGATAACTACAAGTTTTAGATCCTTCTAAGCGGCTTAAGGAATCTCGAGGTCTTATTCAAGATCTCCTGACAATCTTAATATCTATTCAGTTGACCGAGTCAGTAGTGCTCTGATTACCAGACCTGATTATTATTTCTTGTAGTATCGTCGACTGAAATAGCAAATATAAATTTAAGTAATTGGTTGAAAAATCAATTGGAGAGACAAGGCTGTTTCGAATCTTCATTGAGAAGGCAAAATTACTTGGTAACCGAAGAAGAATCGCCTTGGAGTGCCAACGTGGAATTGTGCGATTAAGTCATCGGTTCATGATCCTGTCACTCCGATGAACCCGGTCTGAGCCTTCGTCTGCCTTTGCAAGGACGGACATCATCAAAGCGAGCGACAGCGAAAAGCGGTCTATGGCATGGTAGACAAAAGATCAGAATGGGCTCACTGGAGTTTCAGGACAATGAGCCGATGGCGTATTCGATACGTCCAACATTCTTCACTCCAAGGTACTAGCCACCTCAGTTTCTAGTGAGGCCATTTCACAAATTTCTTCCCACCAACTTTTCGATACGGAACTAAACAGTCGATTCACATTAAACTAGCCTTACACCATAAAAGGCCTTCTCCCCGTTAGGTCAAACGTGCATTTTACATTTCAGTTTACAATTCTACTGTCTGTCAAATGAGTAGGTTTTAAAAAGAGGAGGAGATCTTGAATAAGATCTCGAGATACCTTGGGCCACTTGGAATTCTCCAGAAATGAAATGTATAGATTTTATAGTGACACTGAGTTTCAATCAAACCCTGCCTCAAACAAGTCCTTGTGGAAGGATTATAAACTGAAATTCTGCTCTACTTTGGAAAGGAATGCCTATAAAGACTTAGTAACGACTGATAATCAGGCCTTTTGCCGACAAGCTACAGCCATGCTCATCCTAACAATCACATCTTCTAATACGACAAGTTCCATCTTCGACGGCATTAGCCCTCGAGGCTCGGCATGTCTAAATTCCATTCAGGAGCTTCTGGTAGTTTCGAATCCTACTCGAATTGTAATAGAAAATACCAGTTTGCTTCCCCGGCATTCGCACAACAAACAATGCGATATGGCAACGGCCTGGTCGTACTTGACAAAACAAACACTGCCACACCTCCCCGGTTTGATTCCCGCTGAAGGGGCTGATGCGACCCAGGCGAGGTCGAGACTGCGCTCCGGTCCAGTCCATTCTGAATGAGAATACTCTTTTTGAGGCAAGGCCAAGCGAACTTCTCCGCAAACGCGAGAACTCCT